GTGATTAAATATCTGCTTTCTGGAGCATTGCCAGATGATGCTCATTTTGATGCCAATGTAGTGTGAACACAGAATGTTTTTCTAACCGAGCCACCTACTTTTCATGTGCACAGCGTTTTAACACCCGGTTACAGTTGATTTTCTTCTGCCATACACAAGATGAGGGACCTCCTCTGTCCTCTTCACTGGTTGACCGAGCACATGTATGTATTTCATCTCAGCACCAGTCACAGTTTATCTCACAGATAAAGTCGAAACCCAACTGGAATGCAAAATCCAATCACAAGTGGTCACTCGGGATGGGCGCAAGACATAATCTTTGAGTGTAAAGTGTAGTCCATCCCAGCTGATATCAATCTAACCCAATTTTAAATCACATATTAATTATCTGGTTTTAAAATTCTCTATTTTTTAAACTCACATCTACTCAGACATTCCTCTCAGCTCCACAGAATCCACTCACCGCTGACATATTGATACCGAAACGTCCTAAAAAGCCTCAAATGGCCTTAATCGAGGAGAGAGGCAGAGGGGAGAACAGGGGGGAAGGGTGGAGGGCGGTTTGAGATGAATTCACCAGAAAATGGATCAGCAAAGGCAAATTTATAATATATTTCCTTTCCCACTGCTCGGCTGGAATTGCTTCTGGGGGGAAATCATAAAGCGGAACGCAAGCCGAGGAATTCCTCCTCCGGCCTCCTTCAGGAGAGACTGATGCTGGCGTTGGTTGGGGCTGACACCTTTCCGAATCGTGTTTTATGTAAATGCGGGTCTCTAAAACAAGTATCCGAGGGTAATATTTGCAGAGGAGATGGCGGAGGATAACAGGCCTGACGCAGTTTGCTTCCTGCTTCCTGCTAATCTGCTCGATTAATCACATCAGCAGAGGCAGAGATATAAATGCTTCAATCGGGAGAGGAAAGCATGATGGATGAGCGGGCTAAGAGGTCCTCTTGCTCTCTTTCTCCCTTCTTTTTTCCCTTTCTTCCATCTCTTTTCCTCCCTCCATCATCCTGGCTCCTTTTTCAGACAGTTTTTCTCACACATTCTTTCTTCTATCCTATTTTTTCTCTTTTCCAGTCTTACTCTCTCTTTCTGTCTGGATTTTCAGCTTTGTCTCTCCTTTTTTGACTTCCTGTCTTGTTCCATTTTTCCATCCCTTTGTCTCCTTTTTCTCTTTCATATGATTTCCCTCCATGTTTTGCTCTTTCTCTCTCCTTTTATTCTTTCTTTTGTGCACTACTCCTTTTTCTTCAATCACTCCAGGCACTTTATCTGATGTATGAAGTGAGTAGTAAGTTGTATTTATTTACACTTCTTTTAATTTAAATTATTTTAACCCGTTCAGCACCAAATTAAGTTCCAAACACAAAAAATATATTGAAAAAAATATTGTAATGGTGGATTTTGACTCTAAATGCACTCATAAATCAATAGTAGTATTAAATATTATATATATATATATATATATATATATATATGGGGTGCCCTGGTAGCTCCCCTGGTAGAGCTGGCACCACATGTACCAAGGCTGAGTCCTTGCTGAAGCATGTTGTTTAGGACTTTATAGCATGTAAACAGGAAGTATTTGTTGTCACAGGTTATAGAATACATGCAGACTGATAAGTGTCTGAATACCAATATAACGAGTGTGACTTTGATCAAAGTGCACCGGCTGCAAGACGTCAACATAAATATAAAGATGATTCACTGTTGTTACGTTGCCATATAGCCGTTGCCTGACTCTATCACAGGTGAAAACAGAAGAGTGTGTGTGTTGTTTCATTCAGTGATATCTTCTTTTTTTTTTTTTAAAGACCTGCGAGTTAATCACTGTAGAGAGGGCCATAAGGTTTGCAAATGCAGGAGCAGGATGATAGAGAGTGGATGGAGGGAAGAAGAACAACAGGGAAAGAAAAGAGGGAGAGAGGAGTGAGCTGCATCCTAAAGTGAGGCCATAAATTGCCTCCCTTGTCCAACCCAAAGGGCAAAGCTTCATTCACCCCCACTGTTTATCTCCTCTGTCCTTCCCTCCACTCATCCATCCATCCATCCATCCATCCATCCATCCATGGACTACAGGCCCAGTCCTTGCTGCGTTAATGGAGTAAATTTCTAATTAGGCCTGAATGTAATGAATCACCTGGGCAATCCAAGGGCGGAGGTTTGGTTTCAGTCGGCGGTCTTCTGACATCAAAGGGTTTTTTTTTTTTGCCCTGAACAGCGTCTGTCAGGCTGCACAGCTTCCTCCTTCCTCCCATATTGTTCACCTCCATCCTCATCTCTTTCTTTTCCTCATCACGCCTCCTCCACCCTCCATTGTGCTCCTCATTGCGCCTCCTCCTCACGTTCCTCCGCCCTCCACATTAATCACATGGCAGGGAGAATAAAGCAGAGCATCTGTAATAGTTTAGCAGCGTCACTGAAGGACGGGCAGAGGTCGGCTAGCATCGTGGCTAATGTGTAGACACCCTCTGTGTGGTGTGTGTGTGTGTGTGTGTGTGTGTTTGTGTGTGCACATGTATTAACGGTAATAGATGGGTTGGTGTGGACACAAGGACAGAACGGGGACATGGGCCGCTAAAAATGGATCGCTACCTGGTGGTCTAACACATATACACATATCTATAGATACACACTCTGACATACATGCACACATATGAATGCTATACATACCAGCACACACACACACAAAGGTAACACATTTTGCCTGCTTTTGCCCCATTTCATCTGATTCTTAGGGGCATTTTTCTCCTCTTTTATTCAATTTTATCAATGGATATTGGCAGTTATTAGTTCACTGACTATTTCTTTTGCCTCTCTCCCATCAGTGCTGGAAGCCAGAGGCTGGTCTAACAGCAGAGAGTTGAGCCGCCTTCTTTCCCTGGCTGGTTGATTTGTTGTTGCTGCAGAGGTTTTGCGTCAGTCGTTAAGTTCTCCTGCTGCCAACACTTCCTCCTGCTTCAGGCTGCGTTCCCGCTTGTTTTTCTGATCACAAAATGCTTATTTTTACCCAGAATTCACCGGAAAAGATTCCCTGCTGATAGGCTGCCACACAGCTTCCCACTGTGGCCCACGGGGAACGCAAGTCGCATTCAAGCGTGAATGTTTTGACATCGTCTTTTATCAAAAAATGTGAATCCAAACAGAGATGACTCCTAATCATCGGAGGGCTTTTTGTCTGCTAATTTTTAATTTCATGGCTGTTGTTTTAACTTTGAAGGGCACTTTGGAGCGCCTGTTATTTTCCTAGTTTAGTTATCGCACACACACTCACACCCTCAGTGTCTCTCAGCCCATCGCAGTGTTTGTGTTGGAGTCTCTGAACCAGATAAGGAAGCCATTGTGTCTCCTGTAATGAAAAGGCAGGGTGACGGTGCAGATAGGATTTTCAATATCACACCGTGCTTGGGTGAGAACGCGGCGCACACGCCATAACCTTGAGTACAGCGCACGTCAATCAATCCGATCCATTCAAACACCCCAACTCAACCCCTCGCTCTCCTTGACGGGTGAGATAAACACACTCGGTGTTCAGCCTCAGCCCCGTATTGATGACTTTTACAAAGGGGAGATAGCGGCTGAGTGATCAATGTTCGGCTCATAATTTATGAATCCACTGTCTTTCTGGGGGAGTTCACATGTTCTCCTCGTGTCTGCAAGTTAATTGGTGACTCTAAATTCCCTGCAGATGTAAGTGGGTGACGTAAAGAATGGATGGATGGAATGTCAACCTTTTCCATTCCTCTTCTGAGTCTTTTGGTGACCGGGTGACGACCTAAAGCGAATCAGCTCAAAGTTTGTTCATTACACGCGGACAAATCTAATGAACCGACTACCAATCAGCCACTACTGACCATTGGAAAACTGTGCTCTCTGTGTTGAACAGCAGTACTGTAAATGTCACGATGTCAATCTTTAAGTACTAATGTCAGATAATATGCCTGCATTTTTTGTTTTGTTTTTCTGAATGAAGAGAAATTATCAGCTTTCATGAAAACTTTTGTTTTTTCTCTCCTTCTTTAGAGAAATTAACAAGTTATTTACATCACTATATTGTTTTCAACACTGATGTGTTTCCATGCATTTTCTCCAGTATTCAAATTGTGGTTTGCATGTAAAAGAAAAGTGCAGATAAAGGTGTTTTAAGTTTTTCAGTCACTTCCTTTATTTAGAGATCCATGATCTACTCAGCCCAAATGTCTGCTTGAGTACCTGGTTATTACAGTTTAGCTGACTTTAGCTAACAGATCTGACTTTTAGTTAGGCAGTAACATGATCTGTTGCAATTTACATTTAATTGTATTAAATAACAGCAGGTCTGGCTTAGCTCCATCATAACTGCAGATTCTCCTTGAAATCAATGATACGAGGTGGCAGAAATAATACCGCTTTTGTCCTTTTGACCGCCAGAATCAGGAAAAAAGGAAAGTTCCTTGTAGGGGAATCAAAATGTCTTAAGTCTATTTTTAGCATTAAGGCAAGAGTCAACATGTGTAGGCTAAACAGGGCCAGGACTTATAAATACTGCTCCCAGTGAGACTTGAAGTTAAAGAATTAGGTGAGACTTCTGTTGGCTTTAAGGTCTTATCTTTTATGCCATGCTACCTGTGGCATCACCAGCTAGTGTTGTTGTAATTTAAAGGAATCCAAACTAATTAGTGGCATTAAAGCTAAAGGAAATTAAGTATAATGGTATATCAGGATGCAGCGAGCGAGACTTGAAAACAGGGAATATGAACACAAATTCAGCCTAAAATGAATGAAACGACTTCCTTTCTCACTTTTCATCTTCACTGCACGTCATCTGGAATATTTGCTTTTCATGTCTGAATCTCTTTGTGATTAACTGAACTGAAATTGAACTGACCTCTGGTGCACACTACTCCAACAGCTGCGTGTACTTATACCTCCAACACCCTCACACTTCCATTCACACACACACTCATTCACAAACACACACACCTCCAACAGTAACGTCTTTCTCTGGTTCCTAACAGCCTGAGTCTTGGCCTGTGTTGCAGGAGGATGAGACAGGTGAGGGGCGCTTCAGCTTCCCCGGCTACGGCATGGGCCCCGCCTGCCTGCAGGCCAAAGACGGCATGGCCATCAAGGGCAACAACAACAACGCCCCGGCCTCGGCCGCGCCCGAGAAGAGCATTGAGGAGATGAAGAAGCTGTTCATCGGCCGGGCCAAACGCATCGACACAGTGTCCCGCGTGGCCTTCCCGCTCGTCTTCCTCATTTTTAACATTTTCTACTGGATCACTTACAAGATCATCCGCAGCGAGGACGTCCACAAGCAGTAGTCGAGAGGCGGAGGAGGAGGAGGAGGGCGAGAACAGTGCGAAGAGGAGAATGCAGAGAAACAAAAAGAGAGAAGGAAACAGAGAGAGATGACTTCATTAGGAGATATCATTGCCCCTTTTTTCACGCCAACCATGCCTCCTTTCCTCGTCCTCTTCCTTCATCCTCTTCCTCTTTTGGTCGAGGATAAGTTGCTTTTTGTGGCAGTCACCCCCTCTCAACCCAACCCGACACCTACTAGACATCATTTGAGATATTTATTGCTTTCTTTTCCCCTTATTCTCCTCCCCTGCCCAGAATCCCACCCCTACCCCGTCTCTTTACACCTCCTGAATATTCCGGACCAGTGCAATAGCAATGCAGTAAAATGCATGATATATGAATGTGGCAATATATTAATGAAACATGAAAAAGTAAACTCAGACTTTTGCAGGCACACCCAACGAACTGTGTGGGAGTGGACGGAATGGGAAGAAAGAAGACGACGAGAGAGTCTTGTAAACGGTCTTGTATTTGATTTTAGGTTTTTTTGTGTGAAGACAGATATATAATTCTATATGAAAAGCGATACCGGGAGGGGGTGGGGGATGTGCGAGAAGCATACAGCAGTGTAATATACTCATATATCTATCATAAATGGGGAAAAAAGAACTTTATTTCCAAAGGTGGGCATCTGGAAATGAGGGATTTTTCACCCAAAAAAAAGGAAGGAAGGCGGATCGGTGCTTCCATTAAATAAAGCGATGCAAGGATCACGCATTCTATATATCTAGATTTGCTTCAAACGTGTATTGCAAGCACTCCTCAACGCTTTTCCTCCCCGCCCTGCCGCCAACACCACGAAACCTTGAACTGCAGAGACACTTGAGGTTTGCTGCTGCCGCTGTCAATCATACGAGTGGACAAAAAGAAACAAAAAAAAGAAAAGAAAATAAAGCAACACTGGACAAGCAGTGCTGAAGATTATGAGACAAAATATCTCATTTATCTGTGGTCAACGTGTTCCTCTACCTGTCGTTAATTGATTTCATATTGCATTTGTTGTTTTTTGGGTTTAATTTATGTGCCAAGTATAACATGTCGCTTGTGGCTGTGCAGCGCTCTGCAGCTCCGATCTTTTAGGATGGAGGATGGTCAGTCGTCGCGACCGTTGACGTCTCCTCGCGGGCTTCTTCTGGGTTTTTTAATCCTTGAGGTATTGGTTTGTTTTCATCGACTGGAAAAAGAGCGAATCGATCCTGGACAGAGTAAAATGCAGATCTTCGTTTGCTCTCCTCGTCGTGTTCATTGGGACTGAACCACAGATACGTTTACATCTTATTTGTGCTTCCTTGCTTTGACCCCGCCTTAATGTGACACCCCACCCTTCCCCAGCTGAGAGAACATATGTAGTAAATTATACAGATTATAGCACCTGTTATACCTTAATTAACTGTATTTCCATCTCATTCACATGCACCAACTGTAGCTGCAAACGTCATCATTTGTGAAAAGCGGCATAATCACGCACATGCGACGAAACAGCAGGATTTATTTTGCCATAGTCATGTTGGATGGGATTTGATCAGATAACAGGTCAATTGGCTTATATGATGATTCATCTGATGACTTGTTTCTCTTTTACTTTGCGCCAGGCTTCTCTATGCAATGATCAGCATATATGCAATTATGATTTCTCCTTCCTTTTAGCAGCTCCATCTCAAAAACACCACCGTTTTGTGGGCTGTTTCATTGCACTGCTAACTGCTGAACAAGCTCATTGGTTAATACGGAGGAATGGAGAAGATAAAGTGATGAAACACGGTGATGAAGCTGCAACCTGTGCAGGGACTTTCGCCCAATGCATGCAGATTACTGTACGGAGAAAACATGTTTTATAGTAGAAATCATCAGCAAACAGATTGAGCCAAACCTCTGAGCCCGTCAGAACTTGGAAAGAAAGTGCAGAAATTCTAGTGGATACAGGTCTTCTGTCATCTTGTCACGTCTGCATCGTTTACTCAAAATCCCAAAGTGCTTCTTTCACAAACAACAGAAAATTTACAGAGAAGTTTTAATGCAAAAGGGGTGAACGAGACGTTTTCCAATTTTGTAGCAAAGCAAAACAAAACTTAAAATGAACAACACATACTTAGTTTCATACTGACTTTAAGATTTAGGGTATTCTCATTGCATTTTTCCACTCTGCCATTTAGACAGTGTGCTCAGTGTTTCAGTGACGTACAGTATTTTCTGCCACAGTGTCACCAACAACTCTTCGCACCATACTCTTAAAGGGTTAGCTCAACATTTTGGGTAATGTTCTCTTTTGCTTTCTTTACGATAGATGAAAAGATGGATACCATTTTGTGAGTTAACTGCAGAGCTGAAGCTGGGAGGTGATTAGCCTAGCTTAGCATGAGACAGGCGAGGGGCACTTCGGGTTTTTAATTTGGTTTGTGTACTTTTAGAAAAATGTACGTATAACGTGTTAATTAATGGGCTGTTGGTTGAGTTGTCAGTAGGCATATGTGTGAAACTTGGAAAGACCCAGGCTAGCTGTTTCCAGCCTTTATGCTAAGCTAGGATAATAGCCTCCCAGCTCCAGCTACGTACTTAATGCACACGTGAGAGTGGTATCAATCTTCTAATTTAACTTTTTGAAAGAAAGAGAATAATTATAATTTCCAAAATGTTCAACTCTTCCTTCATCATACGGTGTTTGGTGAACCATCCTGTCTGTGGAGAGTCAGTTAAAAGTTTAAAATAAAATAATTGACTGGACTTTTATTGTGAAGTTTCACACTTCAGGCAAATGCTACTTCCGAACAAATAAACGTTAATCCTGTTACTGTGTTTCCTGGATGAGGACGGCTAATTAAAACATATTTAACTTCACAATAAAAGTCCAGCAGAGTGTTTTATTTTCATCCCTGAGCGTCACATGCAGGGAAAATGTGGTTCAGTCTAAATTAACTCCTGATCGCAACGAAATTACCATTTTCAAAATGTTTTAAGCCCTTGTCCAACTTGGTTTTGAAGCAAAACCAAAGATTATGTATTTTTTTTGTTTCTCACATTTGATGTAGTTGTCATTGCCTTTTGCTGCTGTTGCTGAAGATTTGTTGCAGGATGTGATATTATATTCGGTTTGTCTTTTTAATGTGATTGCCAGTTGCAGTATTGGGTTTGCCAGATTAACTTCAGATATACAAATAAAATTATAATATATATATATATATATAGGCATATTTTGATATGAAACATTTCTGCATTTTCCCCCCAGCATTCTTGTTTTGCTTCATTTTTAAAGAAAGCTTTTTTTATTTGATAGGTCACCTAACTCTCCCTTACACCCCATCTCCATTAAGCCTACACTATTTTTCCTTGTAAAACATGTTTTACAAGTAAAATTCCACATTGAGACTTTTTTGACTCCTGTTTAGAGATCATTCTTGCAGTGTGTCAGCAGATGTTTTCCATTTGTTTCATTCCATCGTAAATTTAAAACTACTTTTCAAGAGTTATTTCAAAATGTGTGTAAGACTGATCCGAAGGGCTACGCCACGCACTTACATTCTTCTGTTCACATTCCTACACGTTTTAACTTTAAAGTTGAAGTGCCATAGCATTTGCTTCATCCCAAAAACTATGCATTTAATTTAGTAAATCCTTCCCAGTGATACATAAAGTGATGGAAAACTTTTTAAGGCCATGATCACCAAGGATGGTTTAGTTTAATTTTTCAATGATATTATCACAGCAGATGTTTATTGCTAAATTTACAGCGAATCATCGGTTTTAGAAATGAGTTAAGCCTGTAGTGAGAGAAGAATCTCTAACTTCTCGTGGTAATTTCATTTTTATCGTTATCTCTTCAGAAGACTGAAGGTTAGCCAGTTAGTTAAAACTAATTAGATAGCTGCGTACCGACTTGTCCCAAAGCAACTCTAGATGGCATTGTTTCTGAAGTAACTTAATGGAGTCAAAACAAGAACCAAAAATGATCTTTTTTATCATATTAAGTTCCAAGATAAAGCCCTCAGTTTTCCAAAATGCCGCAGAGAGCTAACACTAACTATAGCTTGCTGGTAACATCAACTCCTTCACTTACAAACGTAGAAACAATGTAGCACAACAGAGAGGAAGTAGGCGTAGTACTTAGCTAGTCAAAAAGCTAGCAAACGTGCTCTTTAGCTTGCTTGATAGGAAATGTGTGCGCAACTTCCAGATAGCATTTCTTTGTCGGGCTAAATTACCCTTCCTACGCAGTCTTTCTTTCATGCTAGCACCACAGCTGAAGCCCGAACAAAAAGCAGCTCAGAGCTGATGCTAAACTATCTGACATAGAAGCAATGTAGCAAAACATTAAAGGTACTTAGCCAGTTAAAAAGCAAACAAACATGCTATTCAGTGAAGTCTTTATGCTTTTTGTTGCTCTTTGTTGAAGTCGAGGCAGTTTTATTTACTGAATGTAGCACAAAAGTGTTCGGAATTTGTGTTACACGAACCTACGAAGGTTTAACAACCTTGTTATATTGTGTCTACAAGTAATAGATCTAAAATAATGAAACCTTAATTTTACCAAGAGGCAGCTTTTGGGTGTTAAAGAGTAAGGAATGACAGTGTTTACAAAGTGCCAAAATAAATGGATGTTGAACAAGAAATATAGATTTTGTTGACTTTGGAATTGCAGATGTAAAACAGCGCCATCTAGAGTCCCTTCAGTGCTACATTAAGGATATTTTTCTCTGTCTGTAGCACCGCCTCCTCTCTGATCATGGCCTGAACCCGACTGGGAAACGTCAGCGGGGTCGGCCTAATTCGTGTATGATTCACTATGATTCACTTTTTTCTTCCGTGCCATAGACGTCGCGTCTGGAATAAGTCAGAAGCACTTCTGTCCACCAGCCTCTTTGCCAACAGCAGTCGTCCATTTTCTAGAGCGTACATACATATCTTCTCGTGCCATATGGGGGTTGAATATGCAACTAAAAAACGAGGACCTACAAGCATATCACGCATTCATTCAACTACCATTTTACATGATTCATACCCTTTCCTCAGGCGTGGGTGTTGTGTGTATCATAGTCATTTTAGAGCTTTGTCATAGGCCTCACATCATTGTATTAATCATTGTTATACTGTATGGGTTGGGGGAGGGAGGGGTTCATAACATGAGATAGATAATGGGTTTATATTGCATTACGGTGCGATGTGATGCATACGGACTGAACAATGACGGATCTGTTTTTGGAAGTTTATAAATCCTTAGGTTCTCAACTGGATTTTAAAGTAGCATGGTTTGATTTGTCAATGATTAATGATTCTAATGGTTTTTGGGGTTTTGTTTGATTCTCTTGTATTTTATTGTATGTATTGTACAATCTGATGCTCTGAGGGGAGAAGGAAAATACAATGTCTTCTGAACTGCTGTGAACTAAAGGAAACATTATTAATAATATGATTATAATATTTATTTATTTATTTATTTCCTTTGCACAAGTTGGAATGGCCTTAATTTTGCTTTACTTGCTTCTATTGTGTATTGGCACAAAGTGCACCCGTTTGATTTGCAAAAATTACAGTGCTCATTACGATGCTTATAATCCGAGAGTGCACATCAAAGCAGGATGAACAAAAAAAAAATATGAAAAGTTCAGCAAATCCTTTTTATTTTTCATTAATCTGAGAAACAATATTTTGCATGAATATAAATACAATGGCAGATATTTTGGCTTGTACAAAAAAATGTGAAGCAATTTGAAGAGAAAAAAAGAATGTACCGTTTCTGCTGTATCTGTATATATCTAAATATTTATTGAAATATGTCATACTACTAATTCTATTAACGATTAAAGGTTTTCTGAACAAAAATCTCTTTACCTGTTTTTGAACATTGTCAAGGTTGTTGGAGTTGGATCTTCTGCTTTCTGTTACTCGACTCAAGGATCTGTGTAACCATTAAAGAAAAAGTATTAAAAATTGCAAATAAATCCTTGCTGTAGGGTGTATTTATTGTCCCTGTGACGGATAGTGTTGATTTATTGATCTTAAAATGTCTTTAATCATACTTTTCTCTGAGTAGATGTTGGAAATACACAAACATGCATGTCTTCCGTATATCTTGCCTGAAATATTTCCTCGTACTCTGTCATAAGTAGTAGTCTTTGTCCTGCCTTCAGTTTGTCCAACAGCACAGCCTCTACTGGTACAGATTACTCCTGGTCTTGCATCACTTCACCGGTTGAATTTGGTTGCCTGTTCACACATCCAGCAGACACAGAGCAACAGCATCATCCCATTGGAGTCCTGTTGTCCGCCTAATGAATTGAAGATCAATAGCGTGCTTCAAGAATGAGTCCAAAGTGGTTATCTTGCTAAACAAAACATGTTAGTGTCATAAATGTTTGTTCGCCACAGTTTATTTTCTTCAACAATCCAACTTTTTCTTCAACAATTGGCTTTTTGTCAAAGGAACCAGGACGATGTTAACTTCCGGGCTGGCCTACAAAGATGTGTTGTCCCTGCAGCCCTCTATATTCAATCTCCTTTTAGCTATGGTTTGGTCTCCACCAGAACAAATAGCTGCTGCTTTAGCTGCTAGATATTCCACTTTCTTCAGTTGCTAAGTTTGTTGTCCTGCCATTTGGTGCCAAGCAAGTACTGTACAGTCAGTGTCCATCAGATATGCTACTTGTAACATGCTGCTGGAATTAAGGTTGCGAGCTCTAGAGTGGGTTCGATACTCGTGCAGCCGTTTTCGCGTTACGAATCCTTACTTGATTCTTGACTTTCCAGATATTCTGACACCAGAAAAACATTTGAAATATAGTGCTACAGTAAATCTTAAGTTCCCCCATAATAAAACTCACTTTAGCTTTAACAACCCAACCTTGTAGTTATAGTCATATCAAAGTCTACAATGTTTGAGAGATAAAACAAAATGGGCCAAAACAAAAGTATGAGACAGTTTTAATCATTGTACATGCAGTGTTTATTCTATGTGCTGCGGTTCCACCAGCTCAGCCTCCAGGAGATAATCGTCTGATAGGAATCACCTCAGTGCAAGTTCTTAAGACACTCCTTCCTGCACAGATCTCTTACCTGCTCCTACTGACCTTTGGCCCTTCTTTTGCCATTCATTATAAATGCAAACACACACACACACACAGTGGCCATCCTGAGTCATGCAGCAGTGCACAGTGAGACAGCTCTTATACATGTTTAACGGATTGGGGTTAATTTGGTTTCTTTCAGTTTTTAATTAGAAAATAAGATATCAAAAATAGAAAAATGTCTTACAGTGATTCCCAACCTGGGGGTCGCAAAGCCTTCTTGATTTTAAAGTGTGTAAGAAAACTTTAAAAATACAAAGTAAGGCTATATCTCAGCATTCGGTTCAAAAGTAAATGTCAAGTAAATTGTCTAAGAGAGCAATGGCCAAGTGTCAGGGACAAGAAAACACTGGATTTGTCAAAAAAGAAGCCTAAGTATGTGTGATTGTTAAAAAAATAATAATAATAATACAGACAGAGAACTGGGGGAAAAAAATCCCTAAACAGGAAATTAATCTGCTCAAAATTCATCCAAATCCCTCGTTTTACACAAACTTCCTGTAGTTACTGAGTTCACTGTTTGGGTTCATTGTACAATTTTCAATACAATATGAAATATCTATAAAATGTGTCACTTGGTCAGTTTACTAAATGATAGAAAAATGTTGGGAACCACTGTTTTAGGAGATTTGATGAGTTAGAGGTCAGAGAGTGAACAGAATTTATTTTGCACCTTAATACAACAGAGGCTTAAGATTAACAACAAAGTGCCAAATTCAACAGTATTCAACATGACGTAACTATGACAGAAATAAATAACACTTTATACAATGGGTGTGTTTTTTAATCACATTGTGATGGTGATGGGAGGGGTGTAGCAACAGTCTCCTCAGTCTCACTCAGTGTAGTAGTGTAAGTGAGGACAGTCTTTCTGAGGACATTCTGTCCAGTCCTCACTTCAGGGTTTGGGTTAGACATGTAGTTGTTATAAGGTTAGCAACTGGGCTCCTCACAAGTGCGTGTGTGTGTGTGTGTGTGTGTGTGTGTGTGTGTGTGTGTGTGTGTGTGTGTGTTTGTGTGTACACTGTCTGTGTGCTTGGGGTCTCGCTGCCAGCTGGATCAAGACATGCTGGAAGCCATGTCGGTCCACGAATACTAATAATGTGTCTGTTCACAGCATGAGCGCTGCACTCACACTGAATACTGATACACACAACAGTATAGTATGTGTACAAGCTAGCCATATGTCCACACAGGCTGTACTGTAACTGAAACACTAATTTCCATAAGGGCCAACACAGATCCTACCTACCTGTTTGCTAATAGGCTCATGTCAAATATTATTTAAAAAACCCAAATTCTGCTGATATTGATTCAATTTAAAGATTTAAATGAACCTTTACTTATTATTAGAGGATTATTGGATTAAAAAAGAGCTGTAATCTGGTTCATTGTGCAGCCAGTTAATCTGCTCTGTGGTATCATACACAGTCTGTATGTACATACTTACATGAACTGCACTTAACACACACACCAACACCTTCAGCAAGCTCCGGGCTCTGTCCTCCACACACTGTTCAGTTCAGCCTGAGTTCAAGTGAAGGCAGCGGAGTAGAGGAAACAACCCCTGAGAGAATGTGTGTGAGGAGCTGAGCCCGGTCCCGCTCTCTCTCTCTCGCTCTCTCACACACACACACACCTGAATTCACCTGGGTCTCTACCTTTGTGAAAGCTCTCGTTGCCTCAACCACAACTACAAAGTTAAAATGGAGCAGCTTGGAGTTGAGTAAAGAAGAAATGAAAAGGGAAGGTAACTTAAAGCCCGAGTAATCAAACATTAAAGATCCCCTCCAGACGTGTATTCGATATATACAAATAGCTGAACAGAATCTATGAATATGCAAATTTTCCTCTCTGATCTCTAATCTTGTATTTTTAGATAATTTTTTTTGTGTAAATTATGTCTTTGTATCCGTTTGCACACCCGCTTAAACCTGAATTGCCCCTTGAGGGACGAATAAAGTATTTTGAATTGAATAAAGAGACACAAACAAATTGTCTGCTGCTTATGTACAGTAGGACTGTAAACATACATATCACGATACGGCTAAATCGCAATACAAATATGTGAGAATTCAAACCAGTGGGGTGAAAAATGGAAGGTAGTACTGTTTTTAAAACAGCAGAGGGCGCTATCTATTGTTGACTTCGCTTGTTCCTCTGTCACTCAAGTCAGTAGCTGTATCAAAGTGCTAACACGTAAGTACAGTTTTTGTGTTCAGATTTAGTTTTGGGCTATTATTGCCTGTGAACCCAGAACCATGGAGTGTATGGAACGGTTTGTTAACATGTTCGTCTCAACAAGTGTTTGCCATATTAATGCAGCTTTAAGGCGCCTATGTGACTATGGCAAATGCTTTTTGATGTGAAATATTGGTTATAGGAAAATGAGACAATGAAAACTACTTTTCTTTGTTTCCTTATTTGGAATTCTCTGTTCTGGTCAGTGTGTTCAGTCTCCAGTGTTAATTGTGACGTAACTCCGTCACATTAAAGTCAGAACTCTCCTGTCAGGTGGCATCTTTTACTTTTCAGCCCAGCCTCGGAGCGTGTAAAGTCACGTGAGAAGTGTTGTGTATAATGAAGGTCACCTGGAGGGGGCAGGTAAAGAGGGAATGAGCGGGTATAAAGCAGAACGTATGAAGCAGTAAACACACGCGTCTGACTTCCAGCGGTGGAATTCACCGGTCTACCTGATGTTTGGTGCAGATGCAGACATCTAAATAAAGAGTTGATTACCACTGTGTCTGGGCACTGCAGGTTGCAGGTGTATGTCTGGGTGCAGAGGGTCTTTAATGGAAGCATTAGGCCTGTTAGATATCATTTTCCTGTTCTGTCAGAAAGCTTTGAAAAACCCTAATTGCCTAGTTCAGCATTAAAATAATGGGGAAAGTGAAATAAGGGGAGTAGAGTGGCAATGGGAAAATACTAATACCTGTACAAGGTCACAGTGTTACAGTGCAAATGGAGCTGCAATAGTTACCTTAATGATACACTTTGGATTGAACTAGTTCAGCTGTGCATGTCATTTTTAAGCAGGTACTCTGCTGTAATGTTTCCTTTAACTGCATTATATGATTATGTTTTCAGTGTTTCCACACATCATAAAATCACCGTAGAGCCTAATCTGAACACCGTACGTGGGTTTATTTTCTACAAGAAATCAAATCACTTATTCCTGGTCCATTGTGATGTGATCTGTTCAGGTTTTGGTGAAACTCTAGGTGGGTTTTGATGGGCCGGTCCAAGCTGGTCGTTATTCCCACCCCGCCCTTTGTAACCTCTGAACCTCTTAAACTGTCCACATGACACCTGAGTTCTGGTACCTTGTCAGAATTGCTTAAACTATTAAATAAAATCGATGAAACAGACAAAAGGTTTAAAACAGTAAATCACTTTTAATTTAGTTCTCTCATCGGCAGGTGAGTTCATTTTAAACATGATGACAAATGAAGTGCATCGGTAGAAGAAGCCTAACAGATTTTGACACATGATTTGATACATGCTCCATTCAGACGCGTCCGTGAATCCACATATTACAAGCCAACATTATTACTCAAATAAAACCACTACAGTTCAGCTCTTGACCTGATAGAATAAAAAGATAAGACAGATCCATCGCTAGATACAACGGTGGCAGCAATACACAGGATTGCCCAAGCAGTAAAGTACACGTTCCTTTAAGAAACAGGGAGAGAGAACGCGAAAAAAAAAACCTAACCTCTGGGTTTTTTAATCCCCAATTCAAGTAGTTTTTACCCTTTTTTCATGTGTTTGCGTGTTTCGACTTGTTTCTTAATAAATTCAAGTTCAGCATGAAAAACTAAACGGAAAAAAAATAACTGACAAAAAAAAAGTCTGGATAATACATGTGTTGG